GACGCCGGTGTTGCCTCTGGCGTCCACCTGTAGGCCCGCTGACACCCTGCAACCTCCGCACTGATCCACCCGCCAGTCACCGGAATAGACAGATATCTCCGCCGCTGCCGCCTTTATCCTGTGGCCGAAAAAACAACCAGACATGCTTCGTTTGTTCCAAATCGAAGCCGGCGGATGACGGAGATGATGTAGAACGCTTGCCGAGGAGCTTTGTGGCGTCGTTATTGCGCCAAGAGCGGCGATTTTTGTAGGCAACCGGCGAGCTTTGTCATCACCCGGGGAGTTTGATTTGAGGCCCGCCGTCGACTGCGGCCGTCTACTGCCTTGCCTGTCGTCCACCCCTAGCTTCGGATTCGATCAACTCCGCCAGTCGAAGCTCTAACCTTCTCCGCCGGAAAGGTGTTCGACGAATTGCTTAGGTGCGCTTTCTATAGCTATTTTCATTACGTGTTGTTTTTGCGATCAAATTCAACCCAGAATATTTATGCATAGGGTAGATGAAGAGGTTGAGGGAGATGGTATTCGACGACTCTTTGTCGGAAGAGGAGGAAGAAGATGATGATTTTGAAATCGCCATTATGGTGATTGTTAATAATGACTTTCGGAGACCAAGACTAGGATCATAGTTTGGCCGCTTGTGCATCAATCGAGATAGAGCAGAGGGCCATGAGAAGCTTATGAAGGATTATTTCAATCCTAATGCAACCTACCCGGAGAAGTATTTTCTTCCGTGGTTTTGGATGCACCGTTGTCTCTTCCTCACCATTGCAAGAGCTGTGGAGAAGCATGATGAATGGTTTAAATTGAGGAGGTATGCATCAGGGGAGATAAGTGCGAGCCCATTAATGAAGTGTGTCGCGTCTGTTCAAGTGCTTACATATGGGTGTTGGGCCGATGCCATTATTGACTATGTCCGCATCAGGGAAGATTCAATCTTGTAGGGCATTCAAAGATACACACGAGCCATGATTGAGATGGGGAAGAGTACTTGAGGGCTCCCAATGATGAAGATGCCGAGAGGCTTTTGGCTTTGAGTGAAAAAAATGGATGGCATGGTATGCTTGGATCAATTGATTGCATGCACTGGACATAGAAGAATTGTCTTGTGGGATGAAATGTTCAGTACAAAGGGCACCCAAAAGATCCAACAATCGTTCTTGAGGCAGTTGCATTGGATGATCTATGGATTTGGCATTCATACTTTGGATTGCCTGGCTCTCATAATGATCTGAATGTGTTGTCGAGATTATCACTATTTGGAAGGCTTTTTGCTGGAGATGCTCCTCCCTGCAACTATGTTGTCAATGATGACCGTCAATACACAATGGGTTACTACCTTGCAGATGGCATCTATCTTCCACGGACCACATTTGTGAAGACAACCACGCGACCTAAAGGCATTAAGAGATCCCACTTTGCAATGCGTGAATAGTGTGCTTCAGAAGCGCTTTGCCATTGTTCATGGCCCTGCCGAGTATTCGAACCCACTGGTCCTATGGCAAATAATGACATGTTGCATCATCTCGCATAACATGATCATTGAAGATGAGAGAGCCGTGCCAGAGAACTTTCTGTACATCACCAATGGGATCCTGTTGAGCCGGAACATGATGCAAACAACATGCATTGATTCCTCGCAGCGCATCGAAGCATCGATACCTAGCTCCAAGATGATCTTGTTTAGCATCGGTGGCTACTCCATAGCACCGGTTGATTGTTGTGCTTCTATCATGCCCTTCACATCATTTGGACCCTTGCGTGTTTGAATCCGAATAATTTGTTGTGAACTTTAATTTTCTAATATTCATGAATTTTGTGAACTTTGATTGTTAAGTTTGGATTTAATGTGTGTGCAAATATGTAGTTGAAATGTAGTACATACACAAAAACTTAGAAGAATTGGCGATAGTTATTTTTAGGGATTTAAGTTCTAAGGGTTCGGCTAGGAATTATTTTTCATTAGCGGATCAAATATAAAGAGTGCAAGGAGCTATTGAGCAGAAATCCAATTCGGGCTTTGGAGCGTACGCTCCTGCGTGTCAAAAATACTTTTTGCAAATGTCAAAATTTTGAAAAAAAAAATCGATATGTACATCATCACACGTAAACGCTACTGGCAAATTTTTAGGGGGAAAGATTAGGCATTTTGACCTGTGCAAAAAAAAAAGACGAACGCCAAATGTTATTACTTAATTTTGTTTTTTTGACCGACGAAGCACTGCTATTCCGTTCATCATGAAAATTGTCAAGCAAACTTGTTACACTAACATGAACATGTACAAATAAAATTCAGAATTTTAGCATTTATTATTATTATTTCTGAATTTACTGTTCATCCAGGAGCATATGCTCCTCTAAGCCAAAACGGCCATCCCGCTATTGGTGGGGCTAAATTATAAGGGACCGGCTAGAGATGCCCTGAGTGAAATGGAGGGAGAATTATTTACAGTTGCTATTAATCGCCTGTTCTTATGCCATATGCTTATCCTTGGTAATGAATTAATGATATTGATAAATGATAACAACTGAAATTTATGTGCAAAGTGTCTAAATACAGCTTCTTGTCAGTATTAGTTTGACATATTTGTTTTGACCTTGGATGTTTTTGTAATCAGGATAAACTTAAGTGTCAGAAGAAAAGAGCTGAATTGAAATTAAAAGCTGCTGAGGCTTTTAAGAGAAGTGAATATATGATGGCAGCAGAGATGTATACTGTTGTAAGTTACTGTGCTTAATCTTTATTTCTTGAAGGCTGTTTGATTAAAAAAATGCCAATTACGCAACTTGCTTGAAGGCTGCTTTAATAAAAAAAAATGGTCGAGGCTCTACTTCAGTTACTAAAAAAATGCCAATTACATTGCCTTGCAGTGTTGTTTTTTATTTTTACTGCCGGAACTCTGTTTTAGTATGGCAAAAAGGAATGTAATTGCTGTAATGCAGGCAATGGAACTTGGCCCTAGCTCAGATGATTATGCAACCCTGCTAGCAAATAGGAGTCTCTGTTTGTTGCGCTTGGAAAATGGACCTATGGCTCTCAAAGATGCTACTTTGTGTAGAATGATGCGACCCAACTGGCCAAAAGCCTGCTATCGACAAGGGGCTGCTTTTATGCGTCTGAAGGTAACAAAACAACGAAGTAGTTATGTTCAATCTTGTACGATCATGGAATTCATCGATGCTGTTTACTTATAGGACTACGAAAAAGCATGTGAGGCTTTCGCAGAAGGCCTAAAGTTGGACCCCAAAGCCGTTGACATTGAGAATGCTTTAAGGTAAATTTTACGTGTTCTCCTAGTCCTGTGGAAGATAAAAAAATCATTTCTTATACAAGAAGTTTTAAAACTGCAAAGTGTTTATGCAGTGCAAGTGAGTGATATTTTTTTTCCATCTTAAGTTTTATTGTATATGAAGGATGATCTAAACTCTAGTTGAATGTGAGGTGGATTCTGGTTCCATAGATTTATGAAAAAAAGAGGGGACCTTTGTTCTACTTTTATTTTTATTTTGGAAAAGATTGTATAGAAGTTGCTCCTTATGCTCACCTTGACTTTGTTATCACAGGGAAGCAACTGCAATGAAGACTTAACCTACACGCATTACATGATACCTTGCGTAGTTGTGGCTCTCTTGTTGCTAGGTCGAGGATCAGGATATCCCAGTTGTTCGCTACTTCTGTGGTATTTACCTACAGCAACAGTGCAAGCCTCACTTTTTTAAGACTTCTGGTTGCCTCCATCGTGTGTAAACATTACTGAATGCGATGGATGTGTATCTAGTTTCAGTTCAAAGTCAACAAAATGCTATAGATTGAGTTCTTGTCTGTCTTCTAGATTTTTCTTGCTTTCTTTACTATTTTTTTAGAACGTAGACGTCAGGGACGTCCGGCTTTAAATTAATAAAGCCCACAACTTAGGTAGCGTACACAACCAAACGACCAGTCACACAGTATAAGACATACACCGACGAAAATGGAGTCCATTACATGGCAAATCCAGCCGGAACTAAAGAGCACGCAGGCTCAGATAGGATCACATCCAAAAGGGCCACCCTTCCCTAAGAGGTATCAGTAGGCGACGACGGAGCTCGTGCCGCGGAGTAGACAGAGCGGAGACGAGCTAGAGCCAGCTGGTGCAGATCAGAGTCCTGTTGCCTTCCTAGTGGAGCCCATTGCTGCAAGAACAAGATGCATTTGTAGATGACGTTAGCTGGGTGAGAGGGGAACACGCCCTCAATGGTAAACTTGTTACGGATATGCCACAAAGCCCACAGCATGGCCGCCGCACATGTCCACATAACACGACGCGCAGATCCCTGGACCGAGGACAGATAGGACACAAGCTCGGGACGAGAGCGGGGGTCCCAAACCACCCCCGCGGCCTCACGAACCGCGCTCCAGGCAAAACGCGCCAAAGAGCACCGGAAGAACACATGATCTGCATCTTCCGGGGAGCCACACAAGGCACAGGGCCCGGAGGCTGGGCCATTGCGTTTGGCAATGTTGATGGAAGTAGGAAGGCGGTCTTGACAAAGTTGCCAGAGGAACACCTTGATCTTGAGAGGAATCCGAGCCTTCCAAAGCCCCGCGGTAGCCAAAGGGACATGTCCACGGGTCAGCTCTCTGTACAGGGACTTGACAGAAAATTTGCCAGAGCCCGATAGCCTCCAGGACACCAAGTCCGCGCTACTCGACAGGCGCACGTCCGCGATCAAAGCCTGAAGGCGATCCCACTCCACCCTTTCAGGGCCCGTGAGCTCCCGTCTGAAGAAAATTGGGGGCGGGGAGGAGCTGATAGCCGAAGCCACTAGCTGGTTGGGCTGCACTGCGATGGTGTAAAGGAGGCGGAATTCAGACCAAAGAGGGTGCTCGCCAATCCAAGTGTCGAGCCAGAAACGGGGGGAGAGTCCGTTATTGACCGAAAACCTCGCGCCCCTGGCAAAGTATGGTTTAAGGGATTGAATGGAATTCCAAAAAGGAGATCCGTGGGTCGCAGCCCGAAAGAAATTCCCGTCCGGAAAGTACTTTGCACGGAGAAGATCCATCCAGAGGCCCGTCTCTCCCTGAGACAGTTTCCAGATCCACTTACACATAAGAGCGATATTCATCAACTTAGAGTTGATGATCCCCAGGCCCCCCTGGGCTTTGGGTCTGCACACGGCTTGCCATTTAACCATGTGGTATTTACGCTTCGGACTCGCTCCTTCCCAAAAGAAACGGGCCCGCGGGGTCTCCATTTTAGTGTGGACCCCATCAGCCAACAGGAACAGGCCAATGGCAAACATAGGCAGGGACGAAAGGCTGGAATTAGTAAGAATTAGTCTAGCCCCTGAAGACATAAAACGACCTCTCCACGGGCAAACCCTACCCGCCACCTTAGTGCAGAGAGGGTCCCAATCGACCATCGTGCTTTTTTTCGCTGCGATCGGGAGGCCAAGGTAAGTGAAAGGCAGTTTTCCCAATTTGCAGTTAAGCAAATTTGCTACCCGCACGCTATCGGCCGCATCCATCCCTATGGACACCACTTCACATTTGTGAAAATTTATTTTCAACCCGGACATAAGTTCAAAACTAAGGAGAATGGCTTTTATCGTTGCGATACTATGTTGGTCCGGTTCAAATAGGAGGAGGGTGTCATCCGCATACTGAAGGTGTGACACGCCTCCCGGGATCAAATTGCCAACCACTCCCCTGATATGGCCGGCAATCCGAGCTTTGTCTAGCATGGCGCCCAGGGCGTCTGCCACAAAGTTAAAGAGCAGCGGCGGGGCCGGGTCCCCTTGACGTAGCCCCCGCTTGTTACGGAAGAAGTTCCCTACTTCTCCATTGACCGCAATCGCTGTTTGGCCCCCCGAGACCAATTGCATCATGCGGTGGACCCACATAGACAAAAATCCTCGGTCCAGAAGGATGTGACAGAGAAACTCCCAGTTCACTATGTCGTACGCCTTCTCAAAGTCTAACTTCAGAAGGATAGCAGGCTGACGTGAGCGTTTAACGAGTGAATGATCTCTTGGAGGACCAAAGGCCCCTCCAGAATGTTACGACCACGAATGAAAGCCGATTGATTCCTACTAATAATACGCTGAGCTATCGGAGACATGCGAGAGGAACACGCCTTAGCGCAAATTTTAAAGAGGACATTGATGAACGCAATCGGTCTAAACAGTCTAATACAGTCCGCTCCATTGACTTTGGGGATCAAAGATAGAACCCCAAAGTTAAGACGAGAGATATCTACATTATCGCGCATGAACCCATTGCATACGTCGAAAATTGGCCCTTTAAGCACGTGCCAAAACCGTTTGAACATCGCCACCGGCCACCCATCAGGACCCGGAGCGGTGTCCGATTTCATCACGAGGACCGCCGCATCAATCTCCTGGGGGAGGAAGGCCAACCCTAAGGCCTCATTTTCGGCGTCCGTAACTCGCAGCGCAGGATCCCAGACATCCGCCCGCAGCCGGGCTCTGGGCTCTTCCCTGGAGCCCATTAACTGGAGATAGAACTCATAAATGTGTCAAACTATGTCCTGTTGACGCAAAAGGAGCCCCTGCTCCGATTGCAGGCGTAGGATGGCGCATTTACGACGACGCCCATTGGCGTACGCGTGGAAATACTGAGTGTTCGCATCTTCCTTGAGAGTCCACTTAATGCCACCGCGTCTACGCCAGTACTCCTCCTCAGCCCGAAGGAGGGACTCAATTTGGGCCTCAATGGCGTAGCGCTGGGCCCATTCTTGAACCGAGAAGCCTTGCGCGTCTGCCACCGCGTCCATACGGGCGAGGTCCGCGGTCAGCCTTACCCGCAACAGCTTATTATCGCGTCCCTGGTTGGCCCCCCAACCTTTGAGGGCCGCACGCAAACCGGCCCTCGTGGCTATCCAGAACTCCATTGGCCCGCGCGTGTGACCTATCTTGGCTACGCAAGACGACCACTTGGATTGGAAAATTTGATCGAAATCCGGAACCTCAAACCACGCCGTTTCAAAGAAAAAATGGGGGTTTCGTTTTACCCTATCCTCCCCTGAGGACAGGATAAGGGGGATGTGGTCAGACCCGATCAGCGTTTCCGCATGTAGGGAGCACAAGGGGAATAGCATTTCCCACTCTGCGGACATGAAAACTCTGTCCAGCACCGACCGCACCGGCGTAAGATGTTTGTTGGTCCACGCGAATCGTGCTCCCACGCGAGCCACTTCCCTAAGTGCCATGGCTGCAATCGCATCATTAAACAGGGACACCCTTGCCCAGTTAATGATGACGTTGTTCTTATCCGCTCCCGAGCGAATTAAGGTGAAATCGCCACCCACCAGGACCAGTAGGTTAAGCGCACGAAGGATCGCTACCTTCGCCTGAAGCTCGACCAAAAAGTCGTGCGAGAGCGCGTGGTCGGCTGGGCCATAAACAACAATGACCTCCCACTAGCATAGAGTCGCGCGATGACGAACGTGAGCCGACAGGAAAAATCTACCGGAATCCCACGCCACCACCTCGCAACAAACTTGGTTAATGCCAAGCAGCAAGCCCCCGAGTGTCCCACCGCAGGCACCCATTGCCACATGAAGTGCTCGAGCGGGTCAACAGCTAACAGGTCCCGGTGAGAAAAATCTGCCTTGATGGTTTCCTGTAGGCCGATTACGTCTATCCCCTCCTCATGGACGAACTCTTTCAGCTGAGTCCGCCTCCCAGCGTGGCCGAAGCCACGAATATTCCAGAAGAAAAAACGCATTAAATAATGCGGTTGCGGAGGCGAATACCGCGAGCGGTAACCGCTTTGGCCACACATCGTGTCCTGCCAGGAGGACGGGTTTGAGGGGACGACGCAGCCTCTGCTGCAGTGTTCGCTTGATCGGGCCGCGCAACGGTCACCAGAGAAGCCCCTGCTTCGTCTGCTGCCGGCGCCGCGCGGGCCACCGCTGCCTGAGCGAGCGCGGCCTGCGCGATTTCCTTCGAGCGAATGAGCGACAAAAGTTCCCGAGCCTCACCCTCATCGGACAAATCCACCCCGCTATCCTCTAAAATACCCCCGAGACACGCATCTGAATATTCGTCAAAGATTGTAAAACGGGGCGGGGGATTACCTTCAATCTCCATGTTCTTTTGAGCCACCAGAAGTTGAGCATGCTGCAGCGCAGGGAGATTGCCCTTGGTGCCTTTGGAGCGCGCGCTGACCCGCTCCTGCGATGCCGGGGTCACCACCACCGCCTTGGAGCGCTTGGCCGTGGGGATGGCCGCTGTCTTGGACACCGCCGCCCTCATCGCAGCAGAGGAAGGAGGCGGAGCAGCCAGCGAAGACCCACCAGCCGAACCCCAGGTGAGGCCAGCGCCATCACCACCGGCCGGTGCGAGGCAGGCGTGCCCGCACGGGCCGATGGTGGGCTCTCCGGCGCCACCGGGGGCGTCTTGCGACCCGCCACCTTCTTGTTGGACCGAGTCCCACCACCACCTTGGCCTGGCGCAGACGCAGGCGCCGGAGAGCGCGCCACAGACGCACGTGCCCCGCCCATCTCCGCACCAGGGGAGACGAGCATCGAGCGCCCCTCTGAGTCGCAGGAGGCTGAGACGCCCTTGTCCATGTCGAGGCCGATC